CTACACGCCCCGAAAAACACGTGCATGTTCCCTGTAATTGCGTACCAACAAACGACAAAAAGGCATCCCTTGGTGAAGACGAGTCCTCACCAAAAACTCGCACCCGTTGAGTTTGCGTCAGGCCACCATGAGGGTCCGGCGTCCCAGGTGCATTTCGCCTCCCTTGACGCTTTTGCTGTTGCTGTGTTTTTTGTTTTTGCTTTGTCCAGTTGGTTGCATTTGGTTGGAAGCTTGGTGACCTTTGGCTTTGCATTCCCAAACTAGTTGAAGGGTCTTGCCCGTGTGCCATAGCTTGTTGCCAGCTCGATTTGCCTCGGGTTGCTTGGTCATAGCCATCATGCATCATGCCTGTGCATGCAAGTGTGCGTGTCTGTGAGCGCTCGTTGTGCTTGTGTATTTTTCGTTTTGCTCTTTTAGTTCTCTGGTCATGTGTGTGTGTGTGTGTGGTTGTGCATGTGTGCATGTGATGATGCAATGTCTGCTGTGCCTTTTTGCGCCGGCCGTCAATGTGCACGGCGCATGCTCCTGCGCGCGAGCATGCATGCATGCGAGCCGTCAATTAAGGCGTCGGAGGCCGTGTCCGCGCAGAAGAACTCGCAGGAGGCCAGAAGCTCTCAATCCTCGACCTTTTTTCTTTTTTTTTGCGGAGTCTATATATATACATATATATATATATATATAACTGCTTGGATAGGTTTAGGGGAATATCAATAAAAACAACTACCCTTCTTCGGGATCCCATTCCTATTTATGAGACAAACCCTCAGTTGAATCAGTTTCGCTGTCCAAAGCGAATCGACCTGAAATGACCTTTTGGGTTTTCCCACAGTTGGTCCATTTTGAGTCATGGCCCCAAAAGTGGACATTTATTAATTTTCAAGTTCCTGAGCGGCAGGTGAGTTAAGCCTAGGATCAGCCTTCATAAGGCCCGTGTGTTTTCCCTCAAGCTCAGATTTCCAGTACCCTTTTTTCCTTTCGGGGTTTTCGGAAATCAACCACCAAAAAGAGGGCGGCGATGGCCACTGGGGGACGAAAAGGACATGACGGACCCCTTTTTTGGTGGGCAAAAGGGAAACCACAAGCTGGGGGCTGGGCGAGCGCTGGGCGGCCCCTGGGCCCTGTCATAGGCCTATAGAAGGGTGCCAATGCCCGAATTTGGCGAGGTGTTGCCTTTTGAAGGCCTGATGTTGTTTGACATACGGAGTGCATTGGAAAGCCATGGCTGAATACAAAGGTGCTTGACCTTGCATAGCCACGATACTGACTGGTGTGCGTCAATCGGCAGAAATCAACATCTGTTTTGCGGGTCCCGTTGAGTTTGATGCAAAAGTGGCCACGTGTCGGCGTTTTCAAGCGTAACCTTTGGCTTGCTGAATGTGATTCTGGGACGCATCTTTTTCCGGGATGCCGTGAGAATCCAAGTGACTCAACTGCCAGCTGCTCGCAGGGGTCTGCTTGTGGTATCTTGTGGTTGCTACAGAATAAAAGGGACGCCTATGACAGACACCTCCCCCCGAAACGTGACTTCCATTATATGCTTGCTACTCATACGCCAACCTTGAAGATTCCGGCACCGGGGCTGCAACTTTCGACTTGTTTTTGCTCAACCTGTGCCAGGCTTGCAAGGACAAGCGGAGACGTTTGGGGATGCTCAGTAAAAAACTTTGTGCGGAGGGGTCAACAGCAGCCAAGATTGCAGGGCTCCTAATTTTAGTGTCACGTACTGGGGGCCAACTTGCAACCTAATGAGTTTTATAAGCTCCTCTCGTAGGATTGTCGACTGTCCACCACATGCTGCGACTGTCTTGGGCTGCGGGGGTTATGCCTGGTGCTTGTTTCAAGTGTTCGGTGAGACTCTATGCGCTGTGGACTGTACATTGGCGAGCCTGCAGCAGGTTGTGGATCATTGGCCTGTGGCAAACTGCTTCCCACGTCTGGAGTGTTGGCATAGGGGCTGGTTGCGCTACGTTCTTTGGCCGCCAGATGGCTGTTCAGCATTTGAAGGACCAGGTCCCCGCATGGCCCTCGACGGCCTTGCCGTCATTGAGACAGGGATTTGTCTCACTTCTTTTAGCTAGCTTGCAATGGCTATACATGGCTATGAGTGAATGTTACTGGGGAACGACCTCAAAAGTGGCTGGCGGACATGAATCCCCACCTAAACCGATAAGAAAATCGTGCCCGCATCGGTACTGTTCATTGCTAGGGGGGTGCTTCTCCCTGGGTGTAGTGGGAAATCAGACCACTGTTGGAGGGAGTCCCCACCCCCCGAATTCATTAAACCCAGCTGCCCAGTCCCCTTTTTCCTTTGTTTTGGGAAGGGTTCCTCTTTGAAGTCAACCAACCAAAAAAGGATGCCAATTCTTTTTTCCCCCATGGAAATCCACTGGGCATTTGAGGTACCCCTCTACCAGACTATAGCTTTAGAAGAGTATGGACAAATCTATGTGTGAGGGCGGGCAACCTCTCAGAGGTAACCACCTCAGCGTTCAGCAAACCATCTGCGTAAAATCTGAGGAGACAGAAATTGATGACTCTGGGGTGGATCGACCCCCCAAAACTGCCAGACGTCGGCGGTCTCCAGGCCGTGCACCTGAAGCTTCGGGAGGCGGTTCTGGAGGCGCGCCGCAGGTCGCGAGATGGCGCCAGGGAGGTTTCACTGGCGGGGGGCGCTGGGGGCGGGGGAAAAGGGGGGGGGGATCAAACACAAGCAACACAGGGTGTTCAAAGTGAAGCTTTGGCTGAATGGGACCGATTAAATTAATCAGCAGATTATTCATGTCTCCAATCGAAGCTTTTGGATGATTCATCCTGTGTGAAAGTTGCGAATTTGGATAATCCCCCCACAAAAGTGAAGGCGCTAACATGGGACCCTATGAATCAATGGATCATTCATCCTGTGTCGCAGCTGTGAAGCTGATTTGCAAGCGGCTCCCTTTGTTTCAGCTACTGCCACATGGCCGTGGGTCAACACCAATGGTACCATTTTGGGGGTAGGTGAATTCACCGCCCACTTTAGTCTATAGTGCTTGGATTGGGTCCCGTTCACTGGGGCTGCGGGCTTTGGGTTTTAAACCCATCGCCAAATCTCCAGGCAGAGGTGGCCCGAGCCCACCGAGTGGCCGCGCACGCCTCGGGAACTGCGCCGGGGGTGGCCGCTGCCACAGCGCAGTGCGGATGTCCCCTGGATGCCGCATGCATTCCCCATGGTGTCATACGTTTCTAGCTAGCGGTTGGAAAATGGTTCAACTTTTAGTGTACGGCCATCTATGTTCCTAAAAGGGCATGGATAAATGGAGGTTCCCAGGATTTCCCACGATGCCCCATGGTTTCATACAATTCCAATGGTTTCCCGTGCTTCATTATCAACATAGCACATGCCCCCAAGAAGGTGCCGAAAGGCAGAGCCTCCGTGAGGTCCTGGGGCAGGTTGGCCAATGAAAGCTGGCGTTTGACAGGCGTCTGGTTCCACAAACCCGTCAATGGCAACGTGGTGTTTGCATGGGCTAGCGCTGTGCAAATTCCACAGCCTTCCAAAGCCCAGGGACAATCGCCAACTCTTGGAATTTCAATTCATTCGCTGAGGATTCCAATGCGAGGCAAAGTAAGGGCACCACACACTGTAGCGGCCCTTTTTTGGGGGCTTCGGCTTTAGTTTCTCGAGAGGGGATGGAAGGCCCCATCGGGATTCCTATGTTTGCACTTTGGCAGCTCACTGTCGCTCCCTTCGATCCAACCGCAAGTTCACACGACTACGTGGATGTTTTTTTTTTTTTTTAAAGGGGGGGGAGGAGTTGGAACAGATGAATCTCTCCCTCCCTGACTCCCCGGCCATTTTTGGAAAGTCCGCGTTTTGTGGCGGACTAAAACGGACCAATCCACCCGAGGGAGATCTGCGGCAGGGTGCTTTGCGCGCATTCAACATGCTGCAGGTGCACGTTGCCGGGTTTTAAACCGCCCGTAATAGTTCAAGCTTAAGTGTTCAAACTAAGAACGGAAAAGTCGAGCGGAAAAGAGGAATACTAAGAGCGGAAAAGATGATTCTGAGAGCGGAAAATGACTAAGATCGCAAAAACTGAGTTCAAGCTTATCAAAAGAACACCCAAAGGGGATGCATCTTTTCGATGTGATATGTTTATTTGGACAAACAAATTTGCAAATTTGGTTTATTTGCAAATTTGGTTTCCAAGGGGCATATCTTGAAAAGAAAAAGCCGCATAGGAACCTGCCTTCGCTCAGGACCAGATGCAGGCCAACCTGGCCAAGGAGGCCGCCCTGGTCAGAGCCCGAGAGGCCATACGCCAAACTCGGGTCGAACGGTTTCGGCGGTTGGCCGAAAGGAACCCACCCGACCAAAAGGAAGCCACAATCGGTTTGCTTGAAAAAAACGAGATGTGTTGTTTTGCTTGTTGTTGTTTTTTGTGTTAAAAAAAAAAACTCGGGGAGGGAAAGTGCTGAATTGCAACTGATTCCTAGAAGACTGGCGTAGTCATGTCCCTCGTATTTCCGGTTGTCCAAACGGGAGATCTCGTTCACCCTGAGACACAGAAAGCAGTGGAAACCATTCCTTGAATCATTCGCTTGTTCAGGGATCAATCATAGGGATCAATCATAGTTCTTGGTTTTAAAGCAGCTGCGTTTCATTTCTTTGGGCCCCACAGTGGAGTTGATGCTTTGGACAAAGAAGCCAGCTAACATTCGGGCCATGTCAATCGGGGCCTCTTCCAAGTCCAGCCCCTTTGGGTTCCGTTTGGGGGAAGCACACCGCATCCTTTCGCTTTGGTTCCCCAACTTCTCGCTTTATTTTTCAAGGCAGCTGGGGGCAAAGCATGTGCGTTTCATGGTCACAGTTCGGGCGCTTCGGCGCACACCTGCCTTTTCGCCCGGCTCAGCCGGGCGCTATGGTACACCGGCCAAAGAGCCACTGGGCGCTTTGGCTCGGCACCTGTCTCCTTTTCGCGCTCCACGGAGCGCCCAAGCGCTTTGCCGCGTCGCGGGCGATGGCGCTGCCAAAGCTGTCAGCCAGCGAGGGGGTGGTGAACACGCAGGCCGCACTCCACCCGTCACGGCTCGTCCCCCTGGGCAATTTGCAGAATCAGTTGAACCAACCCAACCTTGAGAGTACCACAACACCAAAAGGTAGAATACTGTGGATGGACAAAATTATGCACCAAATTATAACCATGGCGTGTTGGCATTTGCAGAGAAATCATCATTCCAGGGTGTCTTAGGTGGTTCAGATGTCGTGCATACGCAGTGGGGCCAAACTGATTTGGAAGATTGCGTTATCTTTTGGCAAGGGCTGTGTATGGAGACACGCACGACAATCAGCAGCCACTTAATGTACACCGGGTTTGGTATACGAAATCCGGGCCGTGCACAGTGTCCACCATTTCGGGTCCCCCACTAAGTCTAGGTCCAGTAGTGAAAAGGCGTACCCTTGTTCTAACCTCTCTACTGGAGGGCCTAGAAGTTCACACCCATACACCTTCCTGTTCCGTCCTTGCATCATAGACCTTGGCCTAAGCCGTTGCACGCAGGAACAGGTCGGTGGTCGGTCGAGTGGATGGCCGAAAAAATTGTGAAAACTTGTTGTTTGTCACTAAGATGGTCCAAACCCAAAGAGGACAAAGTCAGAAACGGAACTCGGGAAGAAGAGTTGATCGGAAAAAACGGTGTTTTCTCAGTTTCCCAGGACAGGTGTCAGTAGGCGCGAAGCGAAGCACAAGGGGATGGATCCCCATCAAACTTGGGCAGGCTTCCTGTTTAGGGAAGCCCTCTCCATGAGGCCATAAGAGGGCGACAGGTCAGGTCGCAAACAGCCTCCCAAGCATCCAGGCTGGAAAGGGGGCACAGGATTCCGGAAAGATCGGAGAAACCAGCTAAGGAATTAATTCTGCAGGGCATCCTGGTGAGTGGTTGCCCAATTGCTGTAGAGAGCCTGCTTTGCCTGGTTTAAAAAAATTTGGCAACTCCAGTGACGGATTGATTCTAAACTGGAAGCCAGGTGTTGGATCGGTTTTCTTTGGCTAGGTCCCCCAGTAGTGCCCTTTTTTCCTTTTTTGTTGGAGGGTTCCCCTACTAAAATAGACTACAGGAAAAGGGTACCCTTATTCTAAGCTCTCTACTGGCGGACCTAGCTGGCAAACGCATGCCAGGCGCTGCCGGCGAGCGTGTTCTGGGGCAGCCGCTGCAAAGACGCGCTGCCGGAAGCGCTGAAGAAGCTGAACTGCTGCCGGGCCTTTCTGATGGTTAGCCGCTCCCTGCGGAGCTCCTCACCCGCCATAGAGGCGTGGGGGAGGGACGTGCTTCCTGGTTCCCTTTCGTTCAAGGGGCTTTTGCTTGGGGCTAGCTGTCAGATTGATTGGGATGGGATGGATGCCGCACACCTGACTTGGTGCAAGCTGCAACCCGGTTTGTTGGAACCCCTTCAACAGGTCTCCGAACTTGATATCTACAAGAGAAAGGGTGCCCCTTTTTCCCATTTTGGGGGGCATCCAGAATTCACAAGAGCGACACGTTGAGTCTCCAAATGGGAGATTGGATTAGGCAAAAAACCACTCTGGAGAGTTGCGCGCGTTCAGCCCCCAAAGCGCGCTTGGAGCCCCCCTTTGAAGGTTTCTGACCTGACCCCCTCAACTCCCAAGGCCTCCGAAGGTGTTTGCATGGTGTTCTCAAACTTACACTTTCAGAAGTCATCCCATTTGCTTACAAATATTGTATTTTCCCTTGTTGGTTTTAAAGGGAGGTTATCACACTGTTTTTGTTGGTTCAGGGCACTTAAGCAAATGGAAGAATTGGTTCCCTTGATGGTAAGTTTGAAGATGTCACTCGAATGGACCCATCATGGCACACCGTTGGTCGATGTTGGTCGGCTTCCCAAGCAGCCTGCTGTTGTTTAAGATGGTTCCAGGGGACCTTTGGAGCACCCATGTGAAAAATTTGCAGTCTCCAAATGGGAGATGGAAGCCCCATCAACAGTGGCCTGGCTGCGTTCTGGCACCTGTACCATGGATTAGGCTTTAGTCCCCGACGGCCTCAAACATGCCTCCGAAATGGGGATCGCTTTCCTTGGTGTCCCTTCGCCCCAACATGGTTGGTGGGGCAACTTTGGCTCAAACAATCGGAAGGACCCCTTGGAAAGAGGAAGCGAAGCCGCCCACCAGCAAACATGGAAGTCTTCCACAAAAGCCTGCCACTTCCGCGTTTGCTGGTGGGAGAATGAATGTGATGTGAGAGTCGTTGGAGCATGTCGAGTTTGATCAAGGCTTACAACAAGATTACTGATTCAAAAGTGCTAAATCCGATGTCTAGCCAAAACCACATTTCAGCCCTTGTTGAATCCAAGTTCCAGCATATCCCAGCAGATGCTGGCCTAACGGATTTTTCGGAGCCCAGCGTCGTTGCGGGGAAGACCTGGACCTTTGTTGCCGTCGAAGAAACCAATGCGAAATGATGCATTTGGAGAAGTTACTGGTTTTGAAAGCTCCTCAAGAAATGGTTTTCCCGCAAAAGGCCAGGATGCCTTGCAAGCTAGTTGTTCTCCAAGCGAGTTGCTTGGTTGGCGTTCGAAGCTTGGCTTAGGGTGTGTTCGAGCAATCAGTGGGTAGTGATATGCCGATGCTTTTTTCTGTGTGTCAAATACAGGGGCCGGAAAAAATCAAAGCCAGATATGTCCCTCTTCTTGCATTTATATGTATGTGTATATAGATCTAGCAAACCCCGGGTGACTCAGTTCCAAAGCCTCCCCCTTTTCAACCCCAACTCACTCCCAGAGTGCCTCGCGCAGGAAATCGTCGCCGCCTTGGGCGACACTTGTGCGGGGGTTTGGGACGGCATGCCGGCGCACACCCCGAGGGACGCAGTCATGGAGGCGGCCAAAGAAGCTAAGAAGGCCACCCGGCTTCATGATGGCCATCGGGAAAAGCCCTTCGGACCTCGGTGTCGTTTTTGTTTCAGGGTTTTGTTTGTTGTTGTTGTTTTGTTTATTCCCCAACAGCTGGAAGCTTTGGGGTCTCAGCCCAGATAGGCTCCGGGGTGGTCCGGGGCGGCCCTGAGGCAAGGTTGCACGAGGGTTCCACGACAGTTCCACGAGGGTTCCACGACAGTTCCACGAGGGTTCCACCAGGGTTCCACCAGGGTTTTGCAGGGTTTGACGAGGTTCTGTAAGGGCTGCTGGCGCGAGCACTAAAAAGAGCACCGCATGCTGTTGGGGATATCATCTGAGCTTATTGCTTCTTTTGTTTGGGAGGGGGGGGCTGTAAACTGGGGGGGGTGTCTTATGTTGTCCCCCCTTTTTACTTTGGTTAGAGGGCACCTTCAATGACGTTTTTTGTGGTCTACTTTTTGCCAAGGTCCAACGGGTGATCACATTTGATGTTCATGCTTGGACAGTCATGATTTTGAAGCTTTCCAAGGCCGGGGGAAAAAAAAGACAACCCCCCAAAAAGCTTTAACTGAAGAATGGTATCAACCCCAACAAAGGAATCTCCCCAAATAGGAGTCTCCCGAAAATAGGTATCTCCATGAATCTCCCAAAAGATCGGTATTACCAAAAATAGGAATAACCCCAAAAACAGAAATGGTTCCCTCCCGCCTTGAGGTCGACGCCGACGTCATTGTCACCATCGGCGGCGGCAGCCTCACGGATGGCGCCAAGGTGGTGCGCATCGCGCTGCAGACCAACACGGAGAACGCGGAAGAGCTGGGCCAGTATTGCTTCAAAGGGGACGTGACCTGGCTCTTCTTGGCACGTGCTGTGTTTGACCTGATGCCTGGTTCTCTTGGCATGTTGTTACTGCTTTGTTTTGTGTTTGTATGATTGGTTTTTTTGTCGTTTGCGAAGAGCAACGTGTTTTGCTAGCGTGCCAAGGGCTTTACAGGGCCCGTCCGGTATTTCACCCTTGCTTTAGATGTAGATGGGTGGGCTCACTGTTCTTGGCATGTTTTCTTTCGTGTGTGCCTTTTGGTTCTGATTGTTGTTGGTTGAGTGCTGCAAACAACAAAGTTTTGGCAAACATGCCAAGGGTTGGAAAGGTCGATCATACCCTCGCCCATGCCATTTGCGCAAGCTGATTTTGATTTCCCCCGCTGGTTTTAGAAGTGAAAGGTCATGGCTGGCGACCAACGATATCCCATGTTTCCGCAACACATTAAGCAGTTGGAGGTTGTCAATCGTTGGATTGGAAGAGACAGCTGCTGCGCTTGTTTAAGGTGTATTACCGGTCTTGCTTCAATGTGTTTGAGCAAGCCTCATAGGAGTTTTGAAGGAAACCAGGGGAAAAGAAGCGTTGTGGGGGGGTTCGCACCCCATGAAAAGCAGAGGTCTCAGCGGTCAAAGACACCAAGCTGATCCCCCAGATCTGCGTGCCCACCACGCTCTCCGCGGGCGAGTTTGCGCCCTACGCCGGCTGCACGGATCCCCTGACCAAGGTGAAGGAGACCTTCGTGACTCGCAGGCAAAAACCTTTTTGGGTTCCCTTTTGCCAAAGTCAAAAATCCTTTTTTGGGTGTTCCCTTTTTGGGTGTTCCCTTTTTTGGGGTCTTTTTTTGAACAATCTTTCAAATTCTGGACTGATTCGATTTCCCAACACAAATTCCAACAGATCATGGTTGCTTTCCTTGGTTGCTTCAAGCGGTGGGATTTTTGTTCTGTTGTGTCTGCCTTGAACCAACATCATGGCTATCAACTCCAAAGAGAAACAGAGGATTTGGTGCGCTCCCTTACAACTCATCCATGTGGCTGTGGGTCAAAACCGTTTTGGGATCCCATTTTAGGGTATGTGAATTCACCGCCCAAGTTTTAGAACCTATTTTAGTGGGGATTGAGATGTTCACTGGGGGTACGGGATTTTCACCCATGGCCTTGTTGGGTATGTGTGTTTTAAAGGTATTTGTTAAATTATCGTTTCCCTTTTGCTTTTTCGTCAAAACCTGTCACAAAGGGGAACCCTCAAAAAAAGACACACCCTTTTGACGTTTGGAAAACTTGTCGTTTTCCGTGCGCCGTGTCTTTTCGCACATGCGTGAGTGTTTGCACGCCCAAGCGCGTCTGGCCCAGGTTTGGCTCGATGCCTTGCCCAAGGCGATTGCGCCTCAGACCTCCGATGTAGATGTGGGGGGGTTGCTTCGACTCGCTTCCATTGGTTGGATTTTCGTCACTTTGCTTGGGGGTTGGGTTTAATGTTGACCCAGGATTAATAAACCCCTCCCATTATTAGGGGGGTGAAAACCCCTCCAAAAGTGGTCTGAATCCCCACTAAAAGGAATTGGACACCCCCCGATGAAAATCAACCAGGGGTTCTGCTTAATCCGGGGTTAACATTAAACCTGTTGAGTTCGGGGGGCCAGTTGGGATATCTTCCTTCCATAGGTCTCCTTTGGATCGGTTGGTTAAAATAGATATCACTGGCTTAGATTGGGGCTGTTCCATTTAACCGGGCCTTCTATTTTTCCAAAAGGTCACCTATGCTCACGGCCCGAGTTTGTGGATGTGTTACTTTGCTTGGTGGTTCCCATGCGGTTCTTTAGGTTTTGAGATTTGAGGGGTTGGTTTCCATTGACCCACTAGAAGTTATGCCTTTAGCAGGACAGCCCAGTTTGGGCCGGCACAGAACAGTCCGCACACACCAGAGGTCAAGTGCGGGGGCCACCCGTATGGCTCGAGGCCTCCTTAGGTGAGCCACCATCCAAACCCGGGAAGATGAAGGTTGGGGATGATCCCAACCACAAAGAGCTGCGGATGTCCGCCTTACTTCTTGACATGGCTCTGGGACTACGGCCATGTTAATACCGGGGTTTGAGCAAGTGACTCAAGTTTTGGTGAGTTAGTTAGATGGGCTCCACTGGTTGAGATGAGTGTTATGCCCCCTTTAGGTAAACCCATGGATGTCTAGCCAAAAGGTCACCTATGCAGGCTGGTTTAAAGGGAAGCCTGAAGGAGGTTCCAAAAACACAGACATGGAACTATGAATCTTACTGGGGAACCCCCCCCCCCCCCGCATGCCTCTGCGTTGTTCCTCAGAATCTGCCCGGGCCATCCGGTTTCCTTGAGGTGTTGGACCCGTGGCTGGCGCAGCAGACCCCGGAGTGGCTGTTCCTGTCTACAGGCGAAGTAGTTGATGTAGAGAGTATGTGGGTTCCCTTCGACCATGGGGAACCTTTCCCATTTGTGTGGGAAATAGCATCCTTTTTGACCCATGTCTTTGGGCTCCCCCCATGACCAAAAGTTGGTGTCCATTTGGTTTGCCCCGACCCCAAAAATTGTACCGGTGACACAACAACACCTCTGCGCCTCCTGTTTCCTAATTTTGCTTTGTAGGAGGTGGGCCCTCTTTGAGCCATCATCAAGATTGGTTCTGACTCCCTAGAACAGCAAAACAGGGCGCCTTCTCATCATCAAACTAAGGGCTCCTTTGAGTAGTTGGTGGTGGTCAGCCAACCTGGTGTTTTTTTTTTTTCTCGGGGATGTTTTGCAACAGCACCAAAAGGCCCCGATTTCGAAGTATCCCTTCGGAAGGGATGCAAGCGGACATGGAAACGCCAAAGACCCTGGTCTGGGCCCAAATACCCCCAAAAAAACTTCCAATGTTGAGATGCGCCCACAAATACGCGCCAAAAAAAAAAAGGAATCTTCGTTTCATTCCGGCCTCCCTTCCAACCCCCCGGGCCGGGGGTTTTTGCCTTCGGGTTCACCTCAGGGCTGCGCTCCGTGGACCACTGCGTGGAGTGCCTCTGCTCCCCCAGCGGCAACCCTTACAGCGACGGCCTCGCGGGCAACGCCTTGGCCATGCTGGTCTCGGGCCTCCGAGGGGTCAAGGCGTGGGCGTTTGGACGGAGAGCTGACGCTGACGCTGGGAACCGAACACATTATCGTTTTCCCAGACAAATCCCAGAAACATGTACAAATACAAGCTCCGCTTGGCGTAACTTAAATGGGGTACCCACTGAGGGAAGCACCCGCCTATCAATGCTTTTTAATCCAGAGTCAATATTCATGGTCTCTTTTGTTTCGCCTCCATACCTTTTGACTATACTACCCACACACCCTGCAAAAGGAACCTTCATGGAGGCTTGGTGTATGCTCGAAACTTTCGATGGAGGCTGTTGCATTGGTTGCTCTTTGACCTGGGCTCTCCCAAGTTCCCTATGCCCACCTTGGCGGGGTCGAGCAATTTTGACCCTGGCTTGGGGCCCACAATGTAGACGGAGTTTCCTTTTCGGCTGACGTGTAAATACCAACAAGAGTTGGTTTCCCATGGTTTGAAAGTGGTGCGAACGGATTTCGTCCATCCATAGCTAGGTCCCCCAGTAGTGCCCTTCTCACCCCTTTTTCGGTTGGGAGGGTTCCCCTACTAAAATAGGCAAAGAAAAAAGTCGGGTACCAACTTATTCTATCTCAAATCTGGAGCACCTAGATTATCCCACAGCATTGGCGCTGGCGTGAAGCCATATTATTCAGCTATTCGGTCCATGTCAGCGCACGACTTTCCGGGTCCAAGGCTGGCTGGTTTGGGACCCACAGACCCAGGCGGACCCCAGCAACCTGGAGAGCCGGACGCAGTGTCAGCTGGGCATCTTCCAAGCGGTGCAGGCTGGATCCTGGTTGAGTCGCCGCTTTAGAGGGCCTGGACATAGGTATATATATATATATAGAGATATACATATATATATATATATATGCATGTGATTATATGTACTATATATATATAATGTAAATGTACATGTACGTAAGCATGTATATGTCAAAACGAATATGAACCCACCCCGAATTGATGTACGGAAAGAGGGTCCACATCAATTTATCGCATCCCGGGTGTGGCAATTCCCAAGGTTTCCCTTGATGGATCAAAGGGGGGTAATGTATAACCAAGAAAGACCCTAATTGTGGCAGCTAGGGGTGCGGATAAGTGCAAAAGCCCATATCCCAGAAAACCTGTCTTTGGTTGCTGTTGTTTTCTTCCGGGGGGGGGGGGTTGAAGAAGGGGGGGTCCTTCACTTTAGATGCGATTTGCGCAAGGGGGTTCTATTTTTTCGAGGGAACCCAAAGGCGAACCAGCTAGTAAGGATTCCACTTTTGAGAACCGTGCAAAAATTAAATGAAATGATGTATTGTCTGATTCGTGTTGACGCATGACTAGCAACCAGAACCTGCCTACGCTCCTTCAAGGGACCCTGTTCAGCAGACCAACAAGTCTCGGAAGCAACAAATCGCAGGGCGAGTTGTCCTGCAGATTCACTCCACCGGGCCAGTGGGGACACGATCGTCCCCTCGTGGCCCTGGAAATTTTGGCCCAAGTTGGCGGAACATCCGAGTGCAAAGCAGGTGCTCGGATGTATCATCTAAAGAAAAGCTGTGCAGAGCCCTTGGCGTTCCACCCAATTCAACTTCGATCAGGGTGGCTCCCCTTTTAGTCAGGAGATTCACCCTTTTCGGGGGTTCTCTGACTAGGAAAATCGGCCCTCACTTTGGCCTCTGAATATTTGCCGAAAGGGCAACAATGATTTGCACCCTTCCCAATGAAGGTTGGGCTCTGCATGGTCAAAACATGTGGCTTAAAGCTGCTCTATGAGACCTTGCCAGGCTCTTTTCTCTTGTGACATACCCCAAACCACCTTCAGGAGACAAAAACGGTCAACTAGGTCCCCCAGTAGTGCCCGCTCTTCTCTTTTCCCTTTTTTTTGGGTTGGGAGGGTTCCCCTACTAAAATAGACAAAAAAGAAAAAAGTCGGGTACCAACTTATTCTATCTCAAATCTGGAGGACCCAGTGCTGATTCCCATCCAACCATGCTCTGCTTGAAAATCACCTTACAGGGGATTCTCTTGGTATCACAGAAAGCGTTTGGCTCCAAAATGCGATCCTCTTCTACGAAAAGAGAAGTGAATGACTCACCCATGTGTTCCTCTCCTGGGCCCTTCCCACGCCGCTTACGCCGCGAGGCTTGCCAGAGCGGTCCCAAGATGGGCGCCTCCCACGCCATTGGCCACATCCTGGGGCCCGCCTTCGAGGCCGCAGTGAGCGCGAGCCGGGGGTAGGTTTTCGAGGCCGGTTTTCGGAGGGGAAGCCAAAAGGGAACCAAAAGGCCATTTGTTTTGGCCGAAAAAGGCGAAGAGAAGTTCATTTGGTGGTTTTCAGCCACTAAAAGTTAGACTTTAGCAGGGCATCGCAGGAAAGAGAAAGAGCAAAAGACAAAAGAAACAGAACGAGAAAGAGAAAGGAGAAAAGTCCAGAAACCGCTAAGGTTTGATAGGCAACGCCTTTGCGACCTAGGGAACGTTGCCTGAGTGTCCATGCTTCATTTTTTGAGTTTCAGCCAAAAAGTTGAAGCTTGTTCCAGCCAGTCAACTCAGCAGCTCAGGGGCAGACTGTACAATGTTTGGGGGGTACCCAACTCACATGAACTAATTTGAGGTGTGTTGGGTCGCTGGGTTCGGCCCAAACAGAGTCATGGACTATGGGCGTTGCACACATGTAGAAGACATTGTGCGTATGCAGATGTACATAGACACACAATTCTGGCTCGATTTACCGGCAGGCTTTTCACAACTTGATATTCTAAAGCTCCTCCGGCATCCTCCGGCAACCCTGCAGCTTTGGTCGGTTGAACACCCACAACTGCAACACGGAAGGTACCCACGGGATGGTCTGCTGCGCACATCTAGCCGGCTGTTTGAGCCTGGCCACGGACAGGTGCCGCACGGGTACACCTCTTGCGTGGCGCTGCCGGCGGTTCTCCGCTGGAATGCCCAGGAGAGTCGCGTTCGTGCATACGCATCCTTTGGCCCAGCCAAGCCGCATGGGCATCCCCTTTTCCTAGAGCCCGGCATTTGGGAAGTCGCCTGGTTGGGTTTGGGCGGGGGGGGGAGTGCGGAGTGCGGCAAGAAGGGTGCTTTCCCATACAATAAAGTAGGGAAGTGTTATATGGAGGGCTTCACACGTTCAACTGATTGGGGGTGGGGCTCTACATCATGTCTACATCTCTTTGTTAGGTGGGATTCCCAATCGAAGTGGAAAACTGGGTCTCTGGGCGTTTTGAGAAGCAACATGGATGGTTTCAAGGGGCCAAAAGGAAACCAGCCAATGTTGGGGTCCATTTGTGGCAAACCCGATCTGAGAAAATCACTGATGAAAATTTGGAAAATGGAATTCCCACAGAAACTATCAGAATGGGTGAGCTGTTTTTTACCTCGTGATTTGTGCAGATCTCGTGGTGCACATTCGTTTCGAACCTGGGGAGGCTGAGGGAAGAGGTCACCTGGAAAACGGTTTCAGGAAAAGGGAGATAGCTATCAAAAACCGAAGTGAAGCTTGAGGGACATTCACAAACCCACATGGTTTTCCATTATGACTCAAGGGGCACCTTTCCAAAACGGAAAAATCGTTAATTTTTTTCGTGAGGTAGGTGAATAATCCACTGGTTTTTCTTGACTCAGGCGTCACCTTTCCAAGGGAAAAGCAGTTCGCGTCTTTCTTTCTTTTTTTGGCGGAGGACGAGGCCTGCCTGGGGCGCCAGGGGCTGGTGGTGGACGCCTTCACCCGCGCGGGCTGTGAAACGGACGAGGCGGGCCGTCGGTTGGCCGAAACGTGGGGACCGTCCTTTTTGATTGTACCCACGGCTGGCGCAGACCCCGGAGTGGCTGTTCCTGTCAGGCGAAGTGGTTGATGTAGAGAGTATGTGGGCATAGGTGTCCTTTTTGGTTGTTTTGGTAGGGAAATGGATGGCGATTCCTGGCTTACCGGGTGGTATCATCTACCAGGGAAACCCACCTGTTTCCCCTAAAAGCACATGTGAAGGACGAAGGACCCGCCCACCAATTGGCGTGGCACCTGACGGTGCCAGGGGGTCCTGGATTGGACCGGTTTCAAATTTCAAACGGAAGCGGGTCCCCAACGTCAGCTTCCATGTGAACAGAGAGGGCAATCTGGCCAGGGCTTGGAAACGGGGGCGGTGAGCTAGGAGCATCCAAATTCGCCTTTGAAAAAGGGGAGCCTTCGGAGCTAGTAGGAGTTCTGTAACACATGTAGTAATAAACCTCTGGCTGCTCATCCCAGTTCCTCAAAGCGAATCGACCTTTTGACTGTTTGGTTGTCCAGTTGTTGGGTTCCCATTTTTAGTCGTGGCCCCGAAAGGCGCAGCTTTTGATTCCAGGTGCTTTGGGCTCAGGGAGAACCTCTGGTTGATGATTGGGGGCGTTCCCCCCCTCGTGGATGTGGGTGGCATTTGCTGCAGCCTCCTTGTTGTAGGGGCGAACCCATGTGCCAGGGACTTTCTGGGTGCAGAACGGCGTCGGAGTGCGGCCAGCACGTGAGATGAACTATTGGTAGGCCTTCGTGGGTCCCTCTGTCCATTGGAGAAGTGGGGCCCCCCAATTCCCCAAGTGGGCCCAAGACGACTGTGTTCGTTCTTTTTGGGCTTGGCCCTCCACCGAACCATGCTTGGAACCATGGACAGAAGCTTGGTCCAAACCTTGCTTTGTCAGCCGTGGTAGCGTCCTTCCTGAGAGAACCTTTACCCAGGAAAGAGACCAGCCCCACCATGACCCTGGTGTATATGAAAACCACTGGGGACTCCTCCAGAACTAGTTTTAGATCTTCGGGGGAGCCTATATTAATATTTCAGAAAAATCAGAACAAACAGCGTACCCCAGAATCCCGATCTGGCAAGCATGTTACTTCACTGTTTTTGGCGTGTTGTCTTTTGTTTGTTTGTTTGTTGTGTTCCGTTTTTTGGTGGTTGTGTGGTGCTTCTCTTCCTTTTTGTTGGGAAGCTGCCTGTTTGCAAGCCTATACGGTTTGGGTTCAGAAGCAAACCTCTGGTTGATTCTTGTGTGTGTGTTTCTTTTCTGGGGACCCCGAAGCGAGCAAAAGGGGCGTGAGGCGGGCAGCTGCGTGGCGGCCTTGGTCGCGGAGCTGGGCCTGCCCGGCAGCTTGGCGGAGGTGAAGGTGGCCAGGAGCGAGCTCGAGGAGCGCCTTGCCACGACTTAGGGTTCGAGTCCACAGGACGAAACTCGGACCCGGAACCCATGGGTTGCAGAACCTATGGCAATCCCATTTTGGGGTGGATGAACATCCATTTGCAACCTATAGATTTTGATGTTCACCAGAAATTACAGGGGAAAAAGTATACTAGGTCACCCAGTAGTGGCAGCGGATGGGTTGCACAGCTTGCGGCTAGCTAATTGCTTCTGCTTCCATGTGCTCAATGTGTTCTTTGGCTCTTGTTTTCCCCCTGCGGTTTAAAGGGAAACGATTTTATCTAGGTCCCCCAGCTAGGTGCCCGCTCTTTTACCCCTTTCTTGCGAGGAGGATTCCCCTAAAATAGACGACAGGAAAAAGTTGGTGCTGACGTTCCTTTTGGTGTGCCTTTTAAGACAACCAAAGGGAACCGAGCCTCAAACAATGACATACCACTTGACTTTCGACCCGTCACTGGCCGAGCTCAGAGACACACGGGCTCCCTACAACTTGTGCTTATGGAACGCCCTCTGTCAGATGAAACGCGGTCAAACTTTGCTCGCGGTTCTGCAAAGCATGGTGTTTCTTCCTGCCGGTAGAACGGGGATCCTCTCTAACATGACAATTTTGGGAATGACCCATGGCACCACGGATTTCGGGCGGTTTTCTTCCACCACGTGTTAGATTCTTTACGGCCTTCGCTTCGAGCCAAGTCGAACCGGGCTGAAAGGTGCGCTCGCCGCACCATGCACGACCCCTTGGTGCAGACGAATCCGCGGAAGATCGCGGGCTGGGAGGACGGGAAAGGGTGGGGGTTCCAACATCTTGGCTCGCTGGTTTTGAGGGGGTCCCTTTTCGGGGTGGGTCAAAAAGGGAAAAGGGCACATCATTCTTGTTGGGCCTGTGTCGAAAGCTAAAAAATATGGCTTGTTCAAATTTCAACTGAGTTTTCTCCGTTGAAGCCATCAAAAACGATAGAAACTCAGTTGTTTAAAACATGGTTGAATTGACCTTTGGTGGGTGTTGGAGCGGAATAAGTGAAGTGGCAACTTGGGAACGAGTCTAGGTGTCAGGGTTCAGAACTCCAAGCTCCATCTATAAAACAGTTTGTCAGTGAACTGACGCTAGAGAGTTGCAGCAAGGTGTTTGGTTTCACCTTTTTGGCACCGTTTGCCCTCCCACAACCACGGAACTGCACATGTGCCCTTTTCCCATGTTGCGTTCCTATGCTGGTCCCTGTCTAGGTCCCCCAGTAGTGCCCTTTCTCACCCCTTTTTTTGGTTGGGAGGGTTCCCCTAAAATAGACTACAGAAAAAAGTTTGTACCCTTCTTCTAACCTCTCCTTTGGAGGACCTAGTTGTATTCTTTTTCGGCCGTGTGCCGATGGGCCTCCGGAGGACGTGAAAGAGATCCTGGAGCTGTGTGGCCCCTTCGCAGAGAAGTGAGGTCGGCTGCCGTTTTACTCTGCTGACCGCCTGGTTTGATGCAGTTGAGTCACTGCCAGTAGTCCGTTGGTTTGGGGATAGTGGGACAACCCAATTTTAATGTTTTCTTCTGTGTTTGTTTGCAAGGAATTTGGAGATAGCTGTACTGAAGAGTGATCAAGAGAGAATAGCAAAGCCAAAGGTAGCAGACCGTGTCACACAACCATTTTCAGGGGCAGAGCTATTGAGCCCTGCTCATTTTTCTCTGCCACGCAGACCATCAGGCAGCGCACCGAAAATGATGCGGTCGGCAGAATCTGCAAGTGTCTTGGGGTCGCTGTTGCTGAGGTGCTTCAGAAACATTGAGAAGCCAATGGAAATTCATCCATTCGAAGTTGTGTCCTTGGAGAACGAACCGGGAACTGATTGCCAAAGAACCAACAGCGACCCACCTGATGGATCTGGATGAATCCCATGGTCAGGCTGCCCTACTTGGCTCATTGAGGGTGGGTTAGACCAATTTACCCAGATGGATATGGGTTTCATGTTCTCTAGACCCAAAAATTTAGCACCCAACAACTAAGGTTCAGTATCAGGCCGGTTTGGCCTGGTTGAGCTTGAGTGCTTGGGCTGCAGGTCTAGGCGCAAACCAGCCCTGATTCCGAACAAGTATCGAGGCTGTGCCATGGTTAATCCTTTTGCTTCTGCCAGGATTCCACGCGTTGCACTTGACAAGCCCAACCCCACACGGCGTCTGTTATCAGCCGGCAGAAGCGTCACCTTGTTGGGCCACTGTAGGGGCGATGTTCAACGGAGAGGGAGCTCTGGATGAATCATCCAATGTCGACCTCAGCTGGGGGTGTGCCGGCCTTGTGAAGATTCCTTTCGTGGCCGCTTCCAACAATACACAGAACGTTTGTGGCTGCAATCCTGGCATTCTCTGAGATCGTTGCCACCCAACCAAGGTTGTTGCAACAAGCGCGAGCTGTCAACCTAGATGTGGGATCGGGGATGGATCCATGTACTCCCCTTCAGATTGTCATGAAACCCAAGCAAGAAACGTTTGTGGAAGATACCTGGCTTTGGATGTTCTGCACGCTAGGCTACCCGATTTCCAAGGATTTCCACGTTTCCACCAAAGATCCAGACTCAGGTGGCCCAACTGCGGTCGCAGCTGTCCATGGCAGAGGCGATGTCCGAGGACGGGTTGCAACAGCTAAAGTAGAAGGTCTTGGCTTCTACTTCCATTTGCTGAATGTTTTTTTTCTTCCCCTGTTGGTGCTTAAAGGGAATCGATCTCGTTCTTGGAAAGATGTTCTCATTCTGTCCGGGGAGCGAAAAAGCAAATGGAGAACTTGTGTTTTTAGCAAAAGTCGTCCTTCCCAGCTGAATTGGAGGATTACGTGGTGAAGTAGGTGGCTTTCACTTGTAACTCTGTTGCGGTGCAACTGCTTTGTCAAGTCATGTGACACATATAAGTGCAGTAGTCACATGTTCGCTATTTGCATTTATGGATGGAGGCGTGTGCAGTTGTGTGTGTGTGTGTGCGTGGTTAGTGCCAGAGCTGCATAAAAGAGGGTCATTGCGGGAGCATGTTTGCAAAAGGGGCAACATGACATCAACCATTTGTATGGCGACTACTTTTGACACAGTTTTTCCACTATTTGCTTTGAGATGGATGTGAGTTTGACAAACCCTTCAGCCATCAGAGCCTCTGATGCTTTTCCTTTCTTGCGACTACCGCTCTCGCGGTGGTGGAAACAAAACCGGAGTGAAACTTGCCATCTCAGATACAGGGACAGTCATTTGGAGTGAGCTGTGATGGGAGTCCCGCTTCGATGTCACAGACTCGGGTAGTAGATTGGGTAGGAATCCTTTCGCTGCTGCCCAAATGAGTTTGCCCGTGGCGATGTTACTTCCGGCGAAGCACTTGCTTTAGGATATCCCCACCCCCTTAGGAATGGAATTGGGGGAGGGGGATGACCCCTGTATACTCCCTGGAGATGACATGGGAGTCTTATATTGACCTATAATTCCATTCTATGCTTCCTTTAGGACCCCGTCGCTGCCGCTGCCATCTCCAATGCCCTCGGCGCCACGCGCAAAGATCGCGAGGCGGAGGCCCGACTTCTCGAGACGAGATTTCTGGCTGGTGCGACAAGGGAATGACCTTCCGCTTTAAGAATGAACCGTGTGTGTCCTTAAAGGAAACCGATGGGATGGAGTTTTGAGATCATTCCAGTCATTCCCTGCCTATGAAACCAAGTTTGGGTTTGTCTCATAGCCTGGCAGGACTTGAAGCGCCAGCTGGCCACGGAGCGGGAGAAGGCTGCTGGGAGAAAACTCGGTCTCTGTTCCCTTTGGGGCTTTGCCTTTTTTGGGCCACATGGGCGTGGTGTCCCTTTTTAAAACCCCCAATACAATGGTCACCCCAAAAAAAGACAGCCGTAGTTGGTTGTTGTTTTTTTGTGGGTATCCGGTGTGTCTTGTTTAGACCCCCAAAAAAAGAGAAGCTCCTTTTGGTGTCCCTTAACCCCCCTCAAAAAAAAAAAAAAAGCCCAAAAATCGAGTCATAGTGTCCTTAGTGCGGGTGGTTTTTGTGGATGCCTTTTTTGGGGGATAATCTTGGTTGGGTTGTCGCGCCCCGACCGAAGACCGAAGGAAACCACAGGATGGATGTTTTGGGATTTCAGTCAGAGCCCCTATGCCACTGTGCGCGGGGTTCCCTTGAACATGAACCAATGGGCTTTCCCTTTGTCCCACAGGCGTCACACTCCCGCGCACAAACCACGCAAAAGCAGAGGAGTAGCCAATTTTGTCATGTTCAACCTAAACCTCGCCGCCCGGGGCTGGGGATATCACCTGCGCTTTTTGTTTCTTGGTCTGCAAGTGAGGCAAGGGCTTTGTTGGCTTGTTGTTATTCTCTCCCATCAGAGCTCCAGGGCCCTGTCTTTCGGGTTGACTGCGTGACGCAAGGCCAATCCGTTTGTGCCGGCCGATTGGAGGGATTCCAGGCTTCAAGTCTGTCCCAATTTGACTCACTAGGCCATTGAGCCGGTTTCTGGGGACTACACGTGAATCCGATTGCTTTGGTGCAGCCCTGGGACAAGGTTTCTGGACGGCCATCGGCCAAAACTGTGGTATCCGTATAAGTATAGGCTTGTATACATCTTCGCATGGCCACACTTTGGGGGGAGCCTCAAAAAAGGCACCCAAAAGGAACAAACTATAAGGCTCCCGCTGGATCCAAGGGGCAAGCAAACGTTTGCCCATTGTTTTTCAGGGCTCCCTGCCCAATCGTTTCTTTTCGAGAAGTGTTTCAACTCTTGTTTCCCGTTTTGCGGCTAGGCCGAGAAAACGCGGCAGGAGCTGCAGGAGGCTCAGGCATAGTCGGGTCTCCGTGCCTTGCCCGGATTTGAAGCCCGTCTTCGCCTTCTTGTAGAGGGATGGGAAACCGCGGTACACCTCCAAACCACCAACTAGTCGAGCCTTCACTGTTGTTGGCATGTTGTTCGGTTTTTAGGTGTTTTCGTTCTGTTCTCATTTTAAAGTGGCCTGCAAAGAAGAGGCAACATTCACCCCTTGGTGTGGTTTGGACATATGTTCCCTGGATTCAGAGGAAGGGTCCACACCACTTGGCTGAAAAATTGCTATTTTCGATGAACACAATAGCTGAAATTGTGGATGGCCACAGTCAAAGGGTTGTGAGGTGGTTTATCCAGGGTTTAATCCATCCCAACTGACATTGATGTTCCACATCTTCCCCACCTCCGGCTCTGAAGACCTCGGTTTTCTTTCTGTTGTGGACCCTATGGCAGTTTCATGGGAAGCCACCACAAAATGCGCCACTTTCGAGGGGAATTTGGTGACCCCTTTGAATTCCCTAGCTGTCCCGCCCCTAAGCTCGTCGTACGCCTTTAGACCCATGGGCATGAGCGGTAAACGCGCAAATGCTGGTGCGACCTTAAAGGCACCTATACTCCCCGAGGTGCTTCCTTGCTGACCCTGTTCTTACTCGCAGCTTCAGAATCGGCCATCGTCGGCACATAAGCCTGAACCCAGAGGCTGCTCCCAGAGTCAGGGGAGCAAAAGGACCGTGCGAAACTGGTTGCTGAGTGGACCCATAATTCAGAAGTTACCCTATTCAAACCCAAAACTGGATGTGTAAGTTGTTCACTGTTGTCAGGACCCCCATTTTGAATCTAGAAGCAACAGTTGCTTTTTGCCTTTGTCACATGTCCAGCGACCGTTTGCTCTGTTTTGGAGGAGAGGCCACACTAGAGCTTCAAACAATGCATTGCATCAAAGCTACTCCTAACCCAGGTATTATGCACGAGTTCCTTTGCCATCCCTTCTAGGGTATCTTCCGTGCTAGGTTTGCTACAAACAGACCTAAGTGACGGTAGGACCCAAATGGAAATTCCAACGAACCAAAAGATGAAAGACACCCGAGATTGCGCGGACTAACACGACCTGAGAGGCTGAAACAGCCCTAAGAATGCACCGGTCCAGTGGCACCATCTCGGTTTTGCAGCGTCCCCAAGTGCCAGGCCTTTGATCAGGACGCAAGGATGTACTTTCTCACAAGAGGCATGTTAGTCAGCTGTGGGCCACCAAAAGTTCCCCACTAGTTTGAATGTGGGCTTCATTTTGGGGTTCCCTTATTCTGACGCACACTCCCCTTAGCCCTTGTGCCAGGTTTGACCTCTGAAATTCCTGGATTCCCCTATATTTCCCCTTAAACATGACCTCACAAGGAATATCACTGAAGTTGGCAACCAAAATTGCCAGCAGGTAGTGTTAAAAGCCACCCTCAAGGGAGAAATATCCGAGGCCCTGATGTTTCATCCTTGGTGCAAAAGAGCCACATGGAGGTGTGGGAAGTGGGAAACCCCCCCCAAAACCAAAAAAATAAAACTAGGGAAAAAAATACGACACGGGTACAACATGGGGGTGTGGGAATTGGGAGCTCCGGGAACCCCCCCCCCCCGGGCCAAAGTCGCCAGGCGCTGAATGCCACGCAGCCGAGCCTTGCAGCCCTGGAAAGCCGGGGCCGCCAAAAACTCCGCCCGGCGCGGCGTGGAGTTGGCAGGTTCTGGTTTTCGTGGCGCTGAAAGGGGAACCACAAGGGAAGCTGAGAGCGACAATTCCATTTCGGGGGGCCAAGGTTGGAACCTGAAGGGGGGGTTCGCTGGAAGACCATGTTCTGGAAGACCATGTTCTGCACGTTTCAGGCGCCATAATGTGTGCAAAATACTGGAATGTAGGGAGCCTGTATGATACTACCCCATCCCTGGACACCTGATGCATCCCTGGGCTGACTTGTGCCTTAACCACTAGGAAGCAATGTGCTTGGCACAATGTTAGTTTATAGATTCGCAAGGTAGGTTGGGTCGGCTCTGCTGGATGCTTCAGCTACACCCAGCACGTTTGTGTGTTGCTTGTACTCGTGGGATGCCCTTTGGGCAAGGATCATATTGTGCGTCTAGCCTTTCTCGGTCCTTGCTCCTTGCTTCTAGCAAGGAACGCAGCGTCCAAAAATGCAAGCTGAGGTGGTGAGTTAGTGTTGGTGTATGTTTCTTTGAAGGCACCCATTACCGGAGTTGTTTTGAAGGAAACTGAAGGAAGCACTGGCGAAAACACACATTGTTCAGGGGAATTCCCTCATGTATAGACAATCCCGTGTTGCCGTACCACGTTGCATGCGACTTCCAAACCAGGAAGTCTTCAAGGTCATTGTCTCAACCAAAACATCCCCAAACTTACAGTTCTTAAACTTTGGTTTCAGGGAAAACCCGCGGCTCGCCAAACTAAAACTTTAAGAACCAGCCTTTGAAGCGAAGTGTTTTTTTGAGAGGCGATGGAATCAAGAACCCATGCCAGGTGCGCGCGCGGAGGCTACACGCCTAGCCAGGAGCCGAGCATGTGACCCGGCGTGTGTGCGAAGCCGGCCTTTTCCTTTTTGTGTGCGAACTGGGATTTCGTTCTGGGGAGGAATAAGAGTTCGGCTTGGAAACCCAGACACGAATGTAGTATGGCGACATCTCGCAGCCAATGTCCCGTCTTTGTCTTGCTTGTGGTTCATTGCGGGCTACTGCAAGATGCCAGCCACCAGCCCCTGCAGAAAGATGGTCTACGCCAGGAAGCCACGAGGACATACACCTTTGGGCCCATACCCTGACACACAGCCATCGGGCGGGTTCCGGGGAGGGGGGGATGAATTTTGTGTGGAAAGCACAGCGTACGCAGATGATTCTGACACGCAGATGACACAGAACGATTGTTGTTTTCAACGACAGAAAAGCCCAGGCCAGGTTTCAACAAGACCGCCCCTGTACCTTGGGATGATCTGCAAAGGGACAGGTGTGGGGTTTCCCACTTGCCTGGGGGCACTGCTTGCTTCGGACCAGGGAAGTTCCCAGTACTTGGTGGCTCCCAGCCATCCGGTTCCTTAGCCTTTTTTTGCTTTTTAGTGTTTAGTGGTAGTTTCCATTTAGCCTAAAAATCCGAAAACGGGCAGCCCAAAGGAATCGCTCCAGGCGCTTGGTTCCTGTCCTTTCCGAGGCCTCGGAAGCGCAGGCCTTGCGCAAGGAGCTGGAGGCATCGAAGGCTGGGAGCTGACCAGTCCTCTGGAGCAAAATGTTTGCAGTCCTTTCCTTAGGTCGCTCAGTGCCCTTTCTCACCCATTTTTTGGTTTGGGAGGGTTCCCCTTCCAGAATAGACTACAGAGAAAAGTTGGTACTCTTATTCTAACCTCTCAAATCTGGAGGACCCAGTTTCCAGTCACCAAGAGGGATTGGGGCTTAGATCGACTCTGGACTTGTTTCCATGTGTTCATTTTGGCGGTTCCCAGCCGTCCCCTTCGGTTTTTAGGTTTTAGGATTGGGGGGGGGCTTCCCTTTCACCCGCTAAAAAATGGACTTTCAGCAGGGGATCTGAGGACAGTTCAGTCATTTCTGCGCCCGGGCCCAGCTCTTCACAGGAGCAGGTAGCTGGTACACAGTCGAATTGTTCCAGTGGCACCCGACACAAGGATCCCAAAGTCCGAAGGGGCCAGCAGTGTAGGTCGGAGCCCTCCAGTGTCCCGAAGGCAATGTCAGGCATCCTCAGCTGACGCCAGCAGGTGGAAATACTTCAGCACTGGGGCCGTCGTCCCCTCAAGCTTGGCGATTCTTGCGCATGCCCGACAGTGGTGCCATTTAGCTCAAACTCGTCAGCAGGAGTGTGGGCGCACAGCCTCAGGCCGCTTGCTCGCCGCCCGCTGGCAGGCTGCTCATTTCGGCTCGCTTCGCAGCCCCTTGGCCCCAGAAGGTCGGCCCAGTCAACGCTCACGACTGCCCGCCATGAACCTCGCGAGCCTTTGGGTCACCGTGCTGCACCTGGCCGCTTCTTCGCCCCTCGGTTCAGGGAGAAGCAGAAACCCTGGTTGATCAATCGGGGTGGGCCCTCGTGGCAATCCGGATCACTTCTTGGGGTCACAACCCACTAGTAATAGGAGTGGAAGAATAAGTCCGTGTCCCCAGTACTGGAGCCAAGAGCATTGCGGTGTACATTTGATGACTACATTGCCACTCGTGGCAGTCGCTCACCAAAACCCATTTCGGGCACACAATCGGCCACTGCATTTGTTTGCAAAAGACTAGGGGAAAGGCCGAGCGTAACACTGAGTTGGGTGCAAAACGAGGCGCACCCCCAAATCGTCATGAAATGGACATGTCACAAACGCAACTGTGCTGGGAGTTGGCTTTTTTGGGCCACTTGGTTTTATCTCACAGGACTTGCAGACCGAGCGGACTCAATGCTGCTACCGGTTCAGCGCTCACAAGAAACCAGCGCACCTGGTTGCAGAAGTACCCCTCAGCTTATGCTGAGCTTTGGAGTTAGGTTAAAAGGATGTCCAAAGCTTTGGAGCAAGTTCCCAAGCCATGTGAGCCCACAGATGCGCCCGCATCGGGCGCAGAGACGATGCGGTCCATGCCGACACGACTTCTTGAACTGGCGCCGGGCCGGAGAATGAGGTAAGATGTGGCAAGTCTCCGCAGCTCAAATAGTGACCGCGCAGGTGAAGTTGGCCAAGCTCGCCGAGTCCAATCTGCCCTGAACTAGACAAAACATGAGCGAAGACGGGCCCACTCAAGTTTCCCACAAGCCTGGGATCTACTTCCTCTTGGAGCGGCCATGTACCTGTCAGGTGCTATGTTACTCTGAGGCAGGATGAAGATAGTTTAAGAAAAATGTCTCGGATGAAAGTAACTGATATGCAGGCCTGTGCATATAGCATCTATTACAGATTGATGTGTGCGTGTACCTATTTCATGTATGTATACATATGCTTATGCATATACATGTCTACGTAATCTACGTACAAGTATACATGTATACATACATGTCACCTACCTCCAGTAAGCAAGCATATGCTTGAGGACTCCTTAGGGAGAAAACGGGATGGAAGTTTGCCATCAGATCGCCAGCTTCTTCGCTGCTGAGGCCCTGCCCAGACGTGTCTGCATTAACGAGGCCATTGGTTACAGCGCATGAAAACTGCTTCTCCAACTGCAGCTTGTGCTCCACGGTCAACACCTTGGTACTCGCATCTTGGCGTCAGCTCAAAATGTCACCTGCCGATTTAAAAATTCCCTCTTGCCAAGCAGGGTTGGCTTATTCGAGATTTCTTTCTTCCAGGGGAGCCTCTCAGGGGTGCGAATTTTCTTTGCTGACTGCGTAACTGAGAACTATCTCTTTACCTCGGACGTGAACCAGTCCATCACGTCGCTGTGCGCAGACTCGGAGCGGGCACAAGTCATGGATGGAATTTGATCTGGAGAGATTGAACAACACTGGGTGCTGAATAGTGCACAATTCCAAAAAGATGTGTATGGTAGCTTTGTCCAGTCAACGCCCAGATTAAGCAAACTGCTTTTCATGCCTGCTACAATAGCTGGAAAGCCAGGGTGACCTGCATGCTGGGGAGAATCACTAGGTTCGAAGCGGTCAAGACATCTACCTGCTGGACTGATCTGTGACAGCCAAGCCCAGTCAAGGGACCACCGCTCCTGAAAATGGTTGGTTTCCGTTGGGGGTTCCCTGCACAAGGCGGAAAAAGTTGCCGAAGCCACAGTAGACATGCGTGCATGCCATTTCAGCTGTGACGCCAGGACGCATACGCTTGCGCACTCACCACCGGGGCAGCCCCTTGCGAAGGGCTCCTGGTGGAGGCGCCTTGCTTTAACATTCGGCCACCTGGCCACCTGGAAACCAACGGCTTGCTTAAGAAGTACTCGATCCAAAGCGAAGCGACCTGCAATGACCTTTCAGTGTCCCCTTTTGGGGTTCCCGTGTTTAGTCACCCCAAAAGGTGATCACCGTTTAGTTCTGCGTCCCTAAAAGGGGCAACTGAGAACAAGTTGCCACTGCCATTTGCGGTTGTAAAGGGAATCCAAGAGAAGAACCGTCATTTCACGTGATATCATTTTATTTTGGGGGGGAGTGGGAAACTAAACACCACCCTAAGATTACCTTTTTTGGGAGAAAACTCGAAAAACGCGCAACGATCCCAGGCTGAGAACTTCTTGTCGCTTTCGCTGCCCCGCACGCCGACAGCGGCCACGGCCTTCTGCACCTTGGACGCCTAGAGTTGGCTTTTACTCAGGTGTTCAGTGGCACCAAATCATTTTCCTCTTTTTGTTGGGTGGCTGCCCCACTACTGGTCTTCCCAAAAAGGGTTCCAATTATTTTTTCCCAGGGTCACTGAACAACTGAGTTTAGCATCAGACTTCGATTTGGGTCAGGGGGCATAACCTACTGTGGGTGGACGAAATCCGTTCGCACCACGTTGAGTCTATGGGAAGCCAATGTTTGCTGGTATTTACAGGGGAATCATCATTCCAGGGTTTCTTAGGTGGTTTCTTAGGTGCCTTTTTGGGTTGTCCTTGATTTGGGGTTGTCCTTTTGAGGGTACCATTTTTCGTGGCTTGAAAGGGATGCCCAAAAAAAGCATCCGATTGTGTGGGCCCCCTAAGGAAAGACACACCCATGTGGCCATGGGGCAGAACCTATGGCGAGCCATTTTGGGGTGGAGGAACATCCATTTGCCCCCCTTTGTTGATGTTCACACGGGGTACAGAGTTGTGACCCATAGCCATATGGGTCCTCTGCGGGTTGTTGGGGGAGGGTCTAAAGTGTTACTTGGATGTGACTCAAAAAAAATCGAGCAGGGGGTGGTGCTTGGTCTTTTCCTGTTTGTTCCATTTGCAGGTGTTGGTTTGTTTTTCCATTTGCCAAGAATGTGGGTGCATTTGTGATAAACCAGTTTTGAGGGAACCCTTTTTTGTGGTTGCTTGAAGGGAACGTTAGATGGGGATTTTTGGGGGTCCCCTATTTTAAGACACACCCCATTTGCTCCTAGTAAACATCTCCTTTGGCTCTGTGTTCTTTTGGGGCTAGTTCGTTTTCGCAATGGTTACTGGAGGTTTGCGCCGGGTTCCAGTCTTATCGCCTTGGGTCGGTTCTCATCAAAAATGGAGGCAACCCAAACAACAGATTGGAGAACGGCAAAGACAAGACTTGGTCCTTCTCTTGTGGTGCGCAAGAGGCCTGTAGAGGATTGGCAAATCCGAGCAGATTTGTTGAATCCCAGTTTGCACACTGTATGTGATTGTGAGTCTTGGTGCCGCACGCATGTGCTCATCAACTAGCTACAAGCCGTAGGAATCACAGCTCTGGCGCGCCAGGCAACAGATATACGACCACGACCGCGACCACCGTCACGACAACCACAAGAACCACTACCATTGACAGCTTCGGAGAGCAACCGAGTCAAATTGCGGGCTCCAGGCGCATGCTCGCGGGCTCAGGCATATTGCTGGTGAGTGTTGGCCTTATGGGTTGACCTTTTTTTGTCCCGCTGGGAGCAAGAATCTCAGTGCAAAGGCGTAGGCCTGGTCCACATCCTACTCTCGTACGGACCGCATTCGTCGGGCCAGCTGCCACCAGATTCGACACATCCAGCTGTTCATTGCTGGCATGGGCCCAAGTGTTTGTTTTGCCCGGCACAGTGCTTCCAGTCACTATGGCAGACAAGGTATGTTTATTTCAAGGTTTCACATGAGGGCTTTCCCCTGGTTGCCTACTATGATTGACTGGGCAGGGCGGAGCTCAACCCGACTAAAACCAAATTGGCCACGGCCATACCCCACCCAGAGGGCGCAACACGAGAGGGTCCAAGTAGGGTGAAAAGACAGACAGCGTTTCCCATTTCCGAAGTGAAGGGGATGACCAAACCCAAAGGGGGGAATTCCATCTATGCACTCACCCATTTGTACCTCATATTTGGTTTCGGAGAATATGTACTTGAGAACTTCTCCTTCCGGACTGGTTTCCAAAACCTGTCCGATCCGCGCCCCTCAGGCCGATTTCGCTTGCTCACCCAAGTCTTTTGGCCGTGAGGCTCTTGAGTTGGCCCTTGCCAAGTAACATCTTCAACTCGGCTCTTCGCTATTGTTCTAGGGGTTGATGTCCAATTATTTTCAACCATCGTTCTTTTCAACAACTGGCTGTTTCCCCTGGGTTTTGATGGTTTCCTAAAATAAGGATCCCTGGAAAGAATGGGGAAGGTATCCCTA